GGGCGCCCCGGGGCGCCGGCTGCCGCCGCCGCTCGGGCGGAGCGAGCCATGCGCAGGCCGCTCTGCAGGGCTCCCGAGCGGGCGCGTCTCCGGCGGCGGCCTGGGGTGCGGTGGCCAGAGTTCCTTGGGGTTATTTTTTTGTTAGAGGCTTCTCTCCACTCTTACAGCAGAAAAAAATCTGAATGCATGAGGAAAGGTAGTGTTATCCCTGCGCTGAACCCTTTACACTGTAAACCTCTAACACTGTAACCTTAGCAGTGCTTTCCGTACCCTATGTTATCTCTTCTGGCATTTCCTCGTTTAAATAACTAATCCAACTGAATCAAAATCATGGCCAGTAACTCCAAGACAGTTGTCTGTGTTGGAGATCTTCCTCCCCAACCTTTTAAGACTTTGGAATGCTCGCCTCTTGAGTTATGCTCTAAAGGCATGCAGTGCTTCCAAAAGCAAAATGTGGTAAGTGAAGATGCCATGTTATTTTTGCAGTTATCATCAATAGCTAAAACAATTTTTGAAATCTGGAAAGAAGTCTAAAACCAACACTGTATGCTTTAATCATATTTTTGTCTGTCTGCAGTTTGATCTTGGAAATATTTGACTAAGAGGGCCTTTTCAGTTGTCTTTGGTAATAGACCTGAATAGGTAAATGATTCTGTTACAGTGTATTTTAGTTCACTGTCAAGACTAGATATATCAGTGTAGTTTAGTATTGGAATGCTATGTTGTACTAAAATTAGGAGGAGCTATTTGTGAACTGTTAAGTAATTCGTCATAAGACCTTAACCCCTGCCAAAGGCACTCCATTTGAATGAATGAAAATCCCTGCTTTTCCTCTGACCACCCTTCACTTAGGAAGGGTAGTCTCTGCTGTGAAATGTTAAAAGCAACATCTGTGACTTTAAAATCTCTATGATTAGTTCGATCAGATGTGATTCACAGACATGGTCTAAGTTATGCTAGCCAGTATTAGTGCTACTTGGAAATCTCCATCTGCCCTATAGGAAAGATTCTATCCAATCGGTTGTATTCTCCTCTGGAAGATGGAAGAAGCTGTTCAAGATGCAGGCAGAGTCTGAAGAGTCAATAACTGCATGCTGTTCAGGAGACGATTGAATTTTTTTTTTTTTTTAAGTGTTTTGGGAAATGGTGATTTTTGTCCGGCGGTGTTGATGGCTCTCCATTTAAAAAGAAAGTATCTGCGTCTGCAAAATGTTTTAGTTGCTCTTTTCCTGAAGTACTTTTGTACTTTTGTAAAAACAGAGTATTTTAATTCCAGAGAAAGTGATGTTTATTCTAGTAGATCTTCATAGTTTTGTTGTATTAAACTTTATTAGTTCCAGGTTTGTATTATCTGCTACTGTATCTTTAATGTCATGTCCTTTATGCTTTAAAAAGGAAGCAATACTAGAGTTTCTTTCTTTTTCTGTCCCCCTTCAATATGGATTAGTCATTAATAATAATTTGGCTTCATTTATTATTAATTTAAGCAATTGCTTCCTTTTGTTTCCAGATTTGTTTTAGTGAATATTGGAAGTGTGATTTGGATTGACATCTTGAAAATACTTTTCTTGTAAGGTGTTCAGATATCTCTTTTTGCAAAGAGGCTGTGGTATAGTCATTTTTATATTTCAACTCTGTCATCTCTTGTATCTACTGTAATAATCATTTTGAACTTGGCCTAAAAGTAGTGAAGTTTTTTTTTTTTTTTTTTCTGTAATCTCTTTCAGTGGGGAGACAAGATACAACAAAGACAAGATACTGCAAGGTTAGTATCAGTCATGCTACTAGCATGTTAGAGTAAAATGATTCTTCCCTGCAAAATGAGAACTCCCATAATGAACATTTGACATATATTAAGTATATTTACTGATTATAATATACCTTAAGAGGCATTATTTGTAAGCTTAGCTTGATAACTGTAATGATAAACCAATTTTCTTGAAATGAGTAGAAATAACTGTATACTTATGACAATGTCAAGAGTATTAGAATACTTCCTTTTTTTCCAAACGGGGGAGGGAGGGAAAAGCTGTCTGCAAACAAGTAAAACTGTGGCAGCGCCTGTTAAGGATACTGGAATAACAGACATCACTGTGTTAAGTCTTAGTGGTTTGCATCAAGCCCAAAAGGGCTTCTGGGATTCAGATGAGAAGTGGGAATGGTGCAGCTGTAGTAAAAATCAAGCTAGGTACATGTGCAGTGACTTGAGGTGGTAGGGAGCAGCAGGGGACTGATTGGTTGCTGATGTTGTAAAGGAGGTTGTCTCTCTGGAAAAGATAATCTCTCCCTTGCAGAAAACTAGGAGCGAAGTATAAAAAGTGGAGATTGTTTAAATGCTTGATTTAATCCCAGCTCATTCCATGAAAATGGTCTTTAAAACAGTTTTAAAATGGCCTTTTATGTAGTGATTGCTGAGTTGGTACACCTAGAATTAAAATATCTAAGTTGTTTGGTGTCTGCTGTAGGAAGACTGGGGAACCTAATGAGACTGCACTGTAAATCATATGTATTGCTACGACCTGTGAGAAAGTTATGCTTCTAGATTTTCCTGCCTCTGTTCTGACATTTCAGCTTATTGGTCTTGCAATGTGACCTTTGTGTTCATAACAGAGAGTAAAGCTTCATGCGCTTAAAAGTACTGTTAGTATTTGTAGTTGCTACTTTTCTGCATCAGATAATACGTAGGCTTCTTACTTACTAAATGCTGGACTTCTGTTGTCATATCTCATGCTACTGTAAGATTACAATTCTGTATTTTTCTTGCTGAAATTTGGATATAATAGGAAATATGAATTCTCTTCTTTGGCTTCCTCATGATGTAAAATATACCATAAGTGTGGACAAAGCAGTGTGTTAATTTTGTCAGTCTGCTATGATTCTAAATTCTCTTAAATCCTCTGAGGGGCAGGAGCAAACCTTTATACCATTAAAGTTGGATTGCCAGAATGATGCTTCTCTCAGTATTAGCTTAGAGCTTTGTGATGAGTTAATTCCTGTCTGCTCTGCCTGAAGACTGTATTTTGAAGGGTTGCTTTTCAACTAGATATGCTATAGATACAATACAATACCCACGCAATTGTATATCAAGTAAGAAGTAGAGAAAGATACTGTAACAGACTCTTTATATCAACTGTAAAATTGTTATGAAACAGTATTCCTTTGTGACAAAGTATTCAGTAATAACAGTATTTCCTGTGACAAAGGGAGACTTCTTTTTGCCTCAGGCCTTTAAGACATTGTCAGTATTAGGCAGTGGGGAGGAACAGGCATTTCAAATGTCTTAGATCTTGACTGTCCTGCTGTGTATGTTTCTTCCTGTGTCCATTTTAGTATAAGCAACATGTCAATTGTATTTTCTGTTTAATAGTAGGAAAGCTTCTTTGTATATGGATTTTTTTCTCCTCCTCATGAAACTGTGAGACTCCTTTAGCAGGCAGTGTACCAGAGACTACTCTAAAAAGGTCAAATGGCTTAAAATGATTACTTGCATGTAGAAAATAGTCCTCTGTATTATGATTAAATTTCTGATATGCATATGATAAACTAAATCTTCCTAATTTTCTATCTTGCATGTCTTTTTTTTTTTCTTCACTCTATTTGTGTGATTAAAATCAGTGAAGGCCAGAGGAACGGTCATTTTCACTATAACTTGTGTATGCTGGAAAAGGATTTTTTTTTTATTGCTGAGCAGATTTTTCTATTGTTATCATGCTTGCTCAACTGGCAAATTATTTAAAAGTTGGATATCTTCATGTTGAAGAATTTCTCTTTGCAGGTCAAGGAGTGGATGAGCCCCTTTCTGATACTGGTTTCAGACAGGCAGATGCTGCTGGTGTATTTCTCAGTAATATGAAATTTACCCATGTATTTTCAAGTGACCTCCTTCGAGCAAAGCAGGCAAGTGCTCCTTGTGGTGGCTGGATATAAATATTAGATTGTTTTGCATTTATTTACTATTGATGCAAATATCATGGTGAAGGAGGGCCAAAAGCAATTTTGATGGATTTAAAACTGAAGTTGGACTTGGGTAAAATTCAAAATGATCTCTGCAAGTAAGGAAATTTTAAAGCAAAGGAAGGCTGCCTTGCTAATTGCTGTAATGTTCTAAGATGGTATAGCTATCCAATGGGAAAACAGTTCGTAACTATATAATATTCACTTTCTAGACTGCTGCCACAATTATAGGAAAAAATAAGTTTTGCAAAGACTTGGAAATCAAGTATGATGCAAGACTTCGAGAGAGAGTAAGTGCTATAAAAATTTGTTTTTACTAATGATCAACTTGAGAGTATAAGTTACTGATGATAGATTCATGAGTCAGTAAGAATCTGGTGTAGTAGTGAGGAGCACAGCTTGGATATGTTTTTAGTTGTTTAAACCAAACTCTTTACATAAGGTAATAATTTTTTTTTGCCTAAGTATGGAATGTTGAAGCAAAGATAATATTTAGTAATCTTAAGGATATATGCAAGACAAGGTTTATGTGTAAAGCTAAGTCTTAAATGTAATAAAAAGATAATGTTTCTAAACATGTAAAATAGAAAGGATGTTCTTTCTACCTGTCATTGCCTTAATGGCACAAATTGATCTTGACTTATTAGCATTTCATACCTTTTTTTAGCACAAAGACTAATAGAAAATTTTCTAGTAATGGTAGACAATCTACTTTCCCTGCTTTCCTGAATAAAGTTTTTTTTTTTTGCATAATAAAAAGCATATTTGTATCTCCTGTTTTTAACTGTCTTGACCAGAATAAGCTCAATGTGGCTGCTTCTACTAATATCATTCACCCTTCAAATACTACACTGATAGTTTGTAGCATTTCTTATTTAATATTCATCTAAACCAGAAGTTAGAAATATGGACCATATTGGATTTTTATAAAAATTAACCTCTACTCCGCTGCATTTTCTCCTTCATGGTGTTCATATTAACATATTAACATGTATATGTTAATCACATCCCCTCTCAGTCTTCTCTCCAAGCTAAACAGGCCCTACTCATTCAGTCTCTCCTCATACAAAAATATTCCAGTCCCTTAATCATCTTGCTTGTCCTCTGCTGGACCCTCTCGAGAAGCTCCACGTCCCTCTTATACTGGGGAGCCCAGAACTTCACTCAGTATTCTAGGTGCGGCCTCACCAGAGCTGAGGAAAGGGGCAGAATCACCTCACTCAACCTGCTGGCAACATTCCTCCTGATGCAGGCCAGGATCCCATGGGCCTTCTTGGCCACAAGGGCACGCTGCTGACTCATGGTTAAGTTGGTGTCCACCAGGACTCCCGGGTTGTGTGGAGCTCTGTGGAGCTGCTTTCCAGCAGGTCAACCCCTATTCTATACTGGTGCCTGGGGTTATTTCTCCCCAGGTGCAGGACCCTGCACTTGTCCTTACTGAAACTCATGAGGTTCCTTTCTGCCTAACTCTCCAGCCTGTCCAGATCCCTCTGAATGGCAGCACAGCCCTCCGGAGTGTTGGCCACTCTACTCAGCTTGGTGTCATCTGCAAACTTGCTCAGGGTGCACTCAGTGCCCTCGTCCAGGTCATTGATGAACAAGTTGAACAGCACTGGGGCCAGTACTGACCCCTGGGGGGCACCACTGGCCACAGGCCTCCAATTGGACTTGGCCCCATTTATCACCACCCTCTGAGCTCTGCCATCCAGCCAGTTCTCGATCCACCTCACTCTGCACTCATCCAGACCACACTGCCGGAGCTTTCCTATGAGGATGTTATGGGAGACGGTGTCAAAAGCCTTGCTGACGTCAATGTAGACAACATCCACAGCTCTCTCCTTGTTCAACTGGCCAGTCATCCCATCATAGAAGGTTATTAGGTTCGTCAGACATGATTTCCCCTTGGTGAATCCATGCTGACCACTCCTGATCACCTCCTTCTCCTTCATATGCCTAGAGATGCTCTCTAGGATGAGCTGCTCCATCACCTTACCAGGGAGGGAGGTGAGGCTGACTGGCCTGTAGTTGCCCGGCTCCTCCCTCTTGCCCTTTTTGAAGACTGCAGTGATGTTGGCTCTCTTCCAGTCCTCCGTCACCTCCCCTGCTCTCCAGGACCTCTTGAAGATGATGGAGAGCGGCTGAGCAAAAACCTCGGCCAGTTCCTTGAGCATTCTTGGGTGCATCCATTGGGGCCCGTAAGATTTGTGGGTTATCAGTTTGCCTAAGCGATCCCTAACCCAATCCTCCTCAACAAGTGGAAGGTCTTCCTCTCGCCTGTTTATCTCTCTTTTACTTGAGCTCTGCAGTTCATGGCAGGTGGCCTTAGCAGTAAAGACAGAGGTGAAGAAGGCATCTAGTAACTCTGCCTTCTCGGCATCCTCTGTCACCAAGACTGCCTCCCCATTCAGCAGCGCACTGACATTTTCCATAGTCTTCCTCTTGCTGCTGACATATTTATAGAAGCCCTTCCTGTTGTCCCTGACGTCCCTTGCCAGCTCTTATTCCAGACAGGCCTTGGCCTTCCTCGTTGCGCACCTGCGTTCTCTGATGATGGGCCTATATTCTTCCCATGTGGTCCTGGCCTTCTTCCACATGCTGTACGCTCTTTTTTTTTCTCATTAAATTTGCCTAGCAGTTCCTTGCCCATCCACACAGGTCTCCTGCCCCGCTTACTTGACTTCTTTCTTGTGGGAATGCGCTGATCCTGAGCTTGGAGGAAGTGGTGTTTGAATATTAGCCAGCTCTCCTGGACCCCCTTTCCTTCTAGGACCCTAGCCCAGGGGACTGCTCCAAGGAGCTCCCTGAAGAGGACTTGAATATACCTTTCATCTATTAGTGGTTCTAGAGAGGTAAGAGTATTCATCTGCCACTGTTTAAAAACCTGGAAAGATCTTAAAAGGTTAAAATAGTAATATACATCCAAGCGTAGCTGTCTTCTAAAATACATTAGAGACAATAAAAGTTCTTTTATATTGTGATTTCTAGCTTTTCAGTGTTACAGATGCATAGTTTGTATATATTGTTTGTTACTATTTCAGTTATGAGCCTTGCATATGAGAGATTATATCTCAGGAAAACTTGCGTCATTGAAAATAGTTACTTGCCTGTTTCTGGAAACCATTATCATTCTTTAAAGCTCTCCCTGACACACACACTTCTAACGCTGTCCACATCAGTAATGTTTCCCCTGCTACTCTCCTACCCCAGCCCCCCAAAAGAGGGGAGACTATTGTTTATTTCAATACATGGAGTATTTGCATTTTTTTCTTCCTTTTAAAACAACTCTTAAATGAACAGTCTCTGGAGATTTTTTTCAGAGACTTGTAGATAAAAAGTATTTTACTTTCAGAGGCGGGGAGGGGGAAATCCCTTTAGTCTTTCTACAGACAGATGAAAAGTAAATGGAATTTATCATCTTGAATGCTTACATACAAACATGTTTGCAATGTGGCCTTAATTACTTATACCGAGTGTCAGATGTAGGAAAATAATCCCTATTCAAAAATGATGCCCGAGGTAACCTTTTGAATGTTACTCCTTTAAGATGCTACTCATATTTCTCTAACTAACATACATATTTTTAAATTAAATAAGAGATACAAAACACATTTTCCCTGCCCTTTCCCTCAATGGTGAGATAAAATGGGAAAGTTAGTTAAGTCTGAATGAGATGAATAGTTCCAAGAAAACAAATCTCTGACGATATTTGCATTGAAAGTAGAACTGAAGATTTGATGTACCTAGTTGAACCGTGTCTCTGTAACTTGCCTCTTGCAGAAGTATGGCATTGCAGAAGGAAGGCCTTTGACTGACCTGAAGGCAATGGCAAAGGCCGCTGGAGAACAATGTCCTTCATTCACACCTTCTGGAGGAGAAACACTGAATGAAGTATGATATTTAGTGTGTCCTGTCTTTCCAGGCTACTTAATAGGTGCAAATGCAGCTCTTGCTTATCTATGTACAACTTTATTGAAAGCTTATTCCAACCAAAGGAAGTTATTTTTCAGGATAAAGGAACCAGTTGACTTGATTGCATGAACTGCCAAGTGGGGAATCTCTTTAGAGCTAGAATATTGATTCTGAAATGGATTTCTCATGAATCTTTCATCTGTTGAAGGATCATGGCAATTACTCTTACCATGAATTCTAGTGCCAGAGAAGTTACCTTATGCTCACACCATCAGGTAGTTTACCATTGGTTTCAGACTTGTTTTACTACTTCAGTTAATATAAATATTTATCTATGTTGTAGTTTTCTGAAAGCTAAAAATCTCTTGCAGTCCTCACAATGCTATCTTCTGACCTTTCCCTTTAGGTGAGAGAACGTGCAAGGGATTTCTTTGAATTTCTGTGTCAGCTAGCTGTTGAAGCAGGACAGAACAAACAAGAGACACATAGTGCAGCAAGCAACAGTTTAGGAAGATCTGAAGTACAGTCAGTTTTCCCCTGGACAGACCACTGCGGTGAACCAGAACTTAACTCTGATTACAGTGGAGCTTCTAAACAATTAGATGCCAATATATTAGTGGTGAGTCATGGGGCATACATGAGAAATTGGTTTGTCTATTTTGTTTCAGATCTCAAATGTACTTTGCCAAAAACTTTAACAAAGTCTCAGTTGTCTTCTGTGAGTCCCAATACAGGAGTTAGTCACTTTGTTATAGAACTTGATAAGGAAAAAATATTAAGGCCTGAAATCAACTGCATTTGTCTTAATCAGGACTCTCATTTAGTGGATGTGAGTGCTGAATGTGCAACTTCAAAAATGTTTTAAGAGCTCTTAGAAGGGAAGGGATTTTTAGATAGTCACTCTACAAGGTCAGGAAGGTTTAGTAATTAATGGAATTGGCTGGAGTTATTGCCACTACACTTCAAAACTGGAGAACTGCTAGTACTTACCACCTTAAAATAATATACAACTTGCATGATTCTAGTATCTGCTGTAAGTTGACACTGGAGAAATGGCACAAATATCCTGTATGAAAGATAATGCTTCTGTTCAGTCACTTGCATACATGGTCCTGCAGTGCATATTAAAGTTTTTACCATTAGCCCATTTTTTGTGTGTTTTCCATTTATAAGAGTTGGGGAGTAAGAGTGAGGGAGAATGGTACTTGGAAAAATGAGGTATACTGTATTCTTGTTTCATTACCAAATACTATATTGTGGTAATAAACATGTTTTTTAAACAACAACTTTTTTGAATTCAGTAATATAATTTGAACACCACTGTTTAGTGCAAAAGCTTGTTTTAAGCAGTGTTTCTGGCTCTGCCACTGAAGAGCTGTGAGATGCTGGACCAGGTTACATCTACATTTGTAAAGTGTGCCTACCTCATAGGACTGTTTAGGATGAATTTCTTTAAGTGTTGGGACCTGCTAAAAAGTACTATACAAAGCAACCAAGTATTGCTTGTAAGGCAAGATGCTTGTAATGCAGATATATGGAATATCTGCATTATATCTGCATATAATGGATATATGCTTGTAATGCAGATGCTTGTAATGCAGATATAGCTGAAATAATGGTCTCTAGGTTTAAAAGTGATCTTATCAGTATAATAAATTGTTTCCCACCTAGAATCCTATTAATTGCAGTCATTATAGGAGCATTTAATCTGAGGGTATAGGCAAGATTGTATGCTTGGTGATTTCTTATATAACTGTTAGCACTATTTTCCTTCCACACTGGGATGTTTGTAGTGTTACTGTATGTGCTTATCTGACTTGTGTTATTTATAATTTCCAAATAAACTGTCTCCATTTACATAATTTAAGCCTGTAAATAAAAGTTATTAAAGGGTCCTGTATAGAACTCCATTTCGTCTGTATTTCCTTTGAGGCAAAACAAAGAAAAAAAACTGTTAATATCACTCTACAGAGCCTTGCCCAGTTCATAGTTTCTGATTTTTACAAAAGAGAAAGGACATTTGGTGAAAGAGTACCTTGTATTTGTGAAAGGCTAATTATGGATCAGTGCTTTCCTAACTACTTAAGAGAACCTCAACTGTTAAGCACAAACTTAAATTACCTCTGTCTGCACCAAATTTACTAGTTAACTGCACTTTCATGTGTATTTGAAATTGTCCGGCTTTCTTGCCATGGTGCAGGGTCTTGAATTTTGATAAGGGAGAAGTTGACATTATTTCTGTAAACAAGTAGCTGTACTTAATTGTAATTCTGTTTAAAAGTAACAAAAATGTTTTAAATGTTCTGTACCTTGCTTCTATTCCTGTGACTGATTCAACAGGGAGCCTCTCTTGATTTGAACACTGAATAGAAGTCTACTCTTCTTCTGTGGTGCTAAGACTGTAGTTTTAACCAATTGGGATACTGCTAAACTGGAGAGGATAAAGCAGGAGTGTTCTGTCATTTGATGACCTAAGATAGTCTTATAAGGTAGTCTTTTCCAGAACCTGATAGTGAACCTAACATTTTTATACTATGGGACTTGTTTATCATCCAAGTGACTGTGATGCTGAGGAGTAGTCACAGAAGAAAACAACTAGTTTTCTGAAAATGAATGCTGAGTAACTGGAACCAGGAGGACCTGAGCTTTAAACCTTTAAGGCTTTACATAATGTGAAGGTCTGAAGTATGAAGCTGCATAGGCTTCTTGAGCCTATCTATATTGAATTTCAGTATTGATAGCTAAGCTTTCTACTTGTTGATAAACTGCATGTCTTCCACTTCTGCAAAGATAGAGAGAAGGCCACATATCTTTTTGGTGGCTTTGTATACCTCCTCTTTTCCAACGTGAGGAAGTTCATTAATGTGTAAGTATCACTTAATGAATTTTTAACTGCAGCTTTTTTAGAAAAAAATATCACCTCTGTATTAGAACATGCTGGGAAACTCAAGATTTTTCTAAAATAAACCCAAGCTCTATTCAAAATGGATTTGTTTCAAGTCTTCTTTGTGTCAGTCTTCAAAACAAAGGTGTGTTTTAAGGAGAGTATTCATGTCAATGTTATAAGGAAGTAAAAATTTCTTAAGTCAGATAGTTGGCTTCATTGACATTATTGATGTTATATATGCTTTGTAACTTTGTACTTGTGAAAATAAAAAGGGCCTCTTTAAAGTCAAAAGTACGGATGTGACAGTGGTAGGTGGACAGATCACTCAATTTTTTTTTAAAACTTATTCATAAGTAACACAAATATTTAAGATTTGATTTAAAGTTTTTCATTATAAGTACATTTATAGCATTAGTCTTTTAAGTCTTTAAATCAATACTGAGATTTAACGTTTCTTGTACTTTTAATAACTTGATTATTTCTGTATGATTATATAGTAATTCTTTACAGTTTATTGGGCTAATGGGAAAGGAGAGCTGAAGTTATAGATGGTTGTGTTAGGAATAGTAGAAAAAGATATTTGAGAGATCACTCAGTAGTGAGAAATGAATATTTTTGTCCTTGTGAAATGCTAATCTCAATTAGCAACAGGAGAAAAGGCCAAATCATAGAGTGAATTTCCTGGAGCAGTAGCTGCCAAGATGCAGCCAAGAGCATATGAAAGTAAATTAAGCAAGTAAATGTAAGTTAACCAGCATATTACCAAGATGATAATGATACTAAAGTGGTAAGATACATTTCTTTTGAATCCCTTTGTAAAAAATAAAATCTGGAAGTAAAATGTTAGAAACACCTCTGCTTGGTCATTTAACAGCTTTTTGTCAGATCCCAGACAGAACTGATGTTTAATTCAAAATTGCCTTACTTAGACTAGCTTTTGTTTTGATGTTCACCAGTTTGACAGACTTTCTCAGTTGGGCAACAGGAAAAGTCAGTGATGACAGAGATCACATAAAACAGGAGGAAGCTCAGTCCACTTCTTTAAATTACTGTTTTCTTTTGCTGAAGTGTACACTTGAACCTGCACTCGCAAAAATATGATGATTCAAAAGGTAAGGAGTTTTTGACTTTCTTTAACAAAGTCTTTGATCATATTTAAGGAATGCTTTACTAGACCTGATTTCAGTCTGTGGAACGGGAGAGAAAAAGAATTTTAAACTTACATAGATGGTAGTACATTTCTCCCTCAGTTTAGACTTCACCAGCATGACCTTCTGGAAGAGTTGCTAAGAATCTAGCAACTATTGGACATGCACCTTGACAGAATGCATTGCTAATGACGGTTTCCTTCTAAAATAGCAATTTACTTTCATTACACAGTTCTCTGCTGTGTTTGTTTCCTGGACATAGCTCTGCCTTTGTAGTAGCAGACTTTTCTTTTATAAGTTAAATGCATTCTGAATCCAAGGTTTTAGTATTTCATGAGGCTATGTCAGATTCACAGCACACATGCCTGGGCTTAAAATAGGACGTTTTCCCCAAATTTGTCCATTTTGTGATTGCTTTGGCCATAAGCCTCAGGTTTTGGGATATAGCAATCTTGAGCAAATAGCCCATACATGTGAATTAACTGCGTGTTGTGTGTCCAAACTGCATCTGTCTGTGTGCCTGAAGAAGCACAACAGAGCTGTTGAAGGGGCTGGAGAACAAACCTTCTGAGGAGCAGCAGAGGGAGCTGAGGTTATTTAGTTTGGAGAGGTGAAGGCTGAACCTGAAAGAATGTTGTAGTGAGGCAAGGGTTGATCTCCAAAATACCTACTGATAGGACAAGATGAAATGGCCTGAAGTTGTGCCAGAGGAAGTTCAGGGTGGATATTAGAAAAAACTTCTAATGGAAAGAGTGTTGAAGCATTGGAACAGACTGCCCAGGCAAGTGGCAGAGTCACCATCCTTGGCAGTGTTCAAGAAACATGTAGATGAGGCATTTAGGGACTTGGTGTTGAACAGGCGTGGTAGTGATGGGTTTATGGTTGGACATGATGAACTCAAAGAATAGTAATGGTTGGAAAAGATCTGTGTAAGCTATTTCCATAGCATCCCTGGATATGGCAAACGTCCTGTGTTGGTGGTCTGTACATGCATTGCAAATTTTACACTTTTCAGGAAAGTCTGAGGAAGTTCTAGTATTACTTGCAAGCATCTCTGGGATTTCCTGGCATGTGGAAAGCCTTGTGTGAGCTTATTGTCCTATCTGCACATTAGAAACTTGCAGTAAGACTACTGAGAGCAAAAACAGAGGCCTTGAATTGAGGTGCAGGATGATACCAGAGGCTATAAGAATAAAAGCACAAATCTTAAGTAGGTGATAACCGGTCAGTAAAGAAATGCAGCCTTGAGTTTCTGGAATAAACAGTTTGGGGACAGACTAGCATTATATCATTTCCTTGTAGTGACCTGCTGGTTTATCAAACCATAATTAAACAGAAGGTAACATGCTAGACTTAACTGCAGTAACTAGTGAATATATCTAGAAAGAGCTAGCTGTTATAAACTAAATTAAACTAAAAAGATAGCATAAAAAGGTTTTTATTCCAGAAAGTCAATTGTTGCAAAGTTAATTATTCTCTGCTTATTTTTAACTCCTTACTAGTTAATTCAATTGTACTAAGCCTTAAATGGACTTAAATATGGAAGGATGATGAGAACTGTTTTTTATAATTAAAGATGTGGAAAATATGTGGATCTTATATCTCATTTGGGCAGAATCTATGGTGAAGATCCCTAGAACCACATGAATGATAATTATCTTAGTAACAGTGGAAAGAGTGTCAACAAGGAATAGGAATGAAGTCTTATAGAGGAATTTGCAACTTAAATATAAAATAATGAGAGATTGTAGAACAAAGCAAGTAGCAAAAAACTTCATATACCTAAATAAAGAACAAGGAAAGAAGTATTAGAACTGTTGCAGAATACGGATGGAATAGAGATTAGATGTTTTGAAGTATATGCCAAAAATAGTACTTATAGCAATATTTAGTCTGAAGATATGAAAAAAGAATGACTAATGGAGATAAGGATAGGGAAAAATGCCACATTTTCCCAATAAATCAGTGAAAAGAATCAGGAAAATAACTAATCTTTAATCTGATGATTAAAGTACATCTAAATTGTGAAAGCACATCTAAAATTACATATCCACAAGCAAGTATTTAAAATAGATCTGTCAAGTTGGGTGTGAGAGTGTATGACTGCAGAATAGGAAATATTATTTTAGGACAGAGGATGAATTAATATTGTGAAAGTGTTGATTTGCCCTTTATGTGGGATTCCACATAAAGGAATAATAATTCCACATAATTCTAATTTTGCCTTCCTGTGTTTTGGAACAGATTTCTGGAGAATGTAATTACAGAGGAGTAAATAGTGCCAGAAAATAATTTAAGTTTTATTAAAAGAAAATCACACTAGACTATACAATAAAACAGTAATTGAATGTAATATAGGTGATTTTTAACTGAATACTTGGTACCTTCCAAAACATCATCAATACCTAAATGGATCAGAATATCATGGAGAGGAAGAAATGGTGAATTTGAGGCCTGGGATCAGAGAAATGAAATAAAAGCAACTACTGTGGAATATCAGCTCATACACCGTAAGAACAAGAATGTCCACTACAAGCTGGAAGAGAATACTTTGGAAGGAGGGGAATAACTTGGGATGTTAATACTAACATCAGGATGACTATAGATACTTAGTGTCACAGTAGAAAAAGGTGAGTCTTGTCCTGAAAGGGGTCTCTGATCAACCCGAGGACGGATTAATGCCATTGTGCAAGCACTGAGTTCTCAGTGACCCTATGTGTAATTATTATCTTTGAGAAGGAGCAGGGAAATAGAAAGCTGTGAAAAAGGAAGCCAAGGAAGTTACTTAGATGAACACCAGCAGTTTTTTTTTTTATACTGTTCCTAATAGATCCAGGATTAGCTGGTATTCAATACCTAGTTATTTCCAAGAGGATTGAGTAGACAATTATGCTTATGAAACCTGCTGATTTCCAAACCATTCTTACTAATGATCTATCCTGAAAGCTCACTGATGAGAATGAAGTTCACTCCTGGACAGAGGATCAAGCCTTTAACAAGGCAAAGCAGAAAGCGGCATAGTGAATTTACAAGAATTAAGGATTAAAAGGAAAAGAGGAGGGTTCTCAGAGGCATGAATCATCATGTTTTAGAATACATGTCACAAGATGGAGAAAGAAGGAGGTTCTACTGCTGGGGACTCTCTTTCCAACTGTAGAACTACTGTAAGGTTAGGAATCAGGAGAGACCTGGTATAAATCTTCATTTCCTGTCTTCCTCTCTTATACCACCACTACTACCAGATAAAAGTCTTCAGGTTTCTCTTATTTCTCTCAGTAGTCACATGTGTCTCCCAATATTTTCCTGGCACTGTCCAGATGAAAAGACTAG